TACGAGCCGAAGGAAGACGTTCAGCTCGGGCTTCAAGTGAGTCTCGGTGATGACGGCTATGTCGATGTGCCGTTCGTTGAGAAAGTCAACAAACTCGATGTTTTTGCTCTTCAAGGAGCAAGCATTCCAATTTACGATCTTGATGGTTTCACGGTCCATACTTGTAACGATGTTACAAGAAATACTAGGCTATAAGTATATATAAGTTACTTCACTTGCCTCAATTCAGGCAAAATATAAAATTTGAGCATGGGATCAGCAAGGGTTATTCGTGCACTTTTCTAGTTATCTGAGCGCCCCTGGTGGTGGGAGATTAAATCCCCAAAATTTGAAAAAGATCACTCGCTCGCTCAGTATATTTGTTTGTTTTCTTCTCATCACCTAAAAATGAACCTATAGCCATATCAGTTCGAGGACCAACTGATATGAACTTCTATATTGTTCTACATGGAACAAAAGAAATGGGAAAACGCGTCGGGTTAGCTTGGAGGGTAATGCGATACCTCGGGACGTTGATCTGCCTCTTCTCGTTCGATCGGTGTACTGTTCAGACGCTAAAGAACAAAAGTTAAAAAAAAAGTATAAAACGATAGTGGATAGATAGTAGATTGAAAAAAGTTAATGTGAGTTTATAGCCCTAGTGGAACTACTATACCTTATTACTAGTTTTTTTTTTCATTCTTTTAGTGAGAAGATTAAGTGGAAATAATAATTTAAAAAATAGGCCCTGCGCGTTAGTGTTAATCGGCAATTGTGAGTAAACCCGAAAGTTTAATTCTATTAGTTAGTCTAAACCAAATTAAATTATAGTAAAACCGCCACAATTGATCTACACTAAAATAAACTGTGCCGTACGGATATACAGCACGTGCAATATTCCCTCGAGACTAAGGTAAATATCTATTCCTCACAAATGGTAGAGGATGGTCAATTCAGCAGGTCAAGCCAAAAATTGTAATGCGAACGTTTATTTCTCCGTTTATCCTTGAAGGACATAACCTTCCTTCAAGTGAAGGTGTCACCATAGGGCGTAGGGAGTAGCGACAGCCACGCTATTCCTAGGGACGAATCCGAAGCCCGGCGGCTTGTAGGCTTGCCCTCGTCGTCGCGCCAGTATTCGAACCGCACGTACCCTAGGGCCATCCGAAGGTCATCCATACCTTACGAGGACAATTCGGAAGCCAACTGCCGAACTGATTCTCTTTCGGTCTCGAAGGGAAGCGGGGTGAGGTGGTGCCATCGGTACTACAATTACGCACCCCGAAGAAAAATCGGTGTGAAGTTCAACGGTCGGTTACCACAGACACAAACCTTCTTCACAGACCGACAGCATTGGTGCCTCTGCTAGCCCGCCGCTGCAAGCAAGTGTCGCTACTGCAGTCACGCACGGTCGGCTGTTCTGTGGACTCGCCGCTTAGTACGACAGTACCTTTCACCGTCGGTGGCGCAAGGAGTCTTCTTGTGTGAAAGGACCCATCACCATTTGCATACAGGTCAGATCCTTCCTTTATATCTATACATATATGCAAAGAACGTTCGCAAGGGATCTCAACAAACAAAATAAAAAAAAACTAGCAAAAATAGTTCGCAAAGATTGAAGTGGTCGACCACGGGTTAGAGAAAGAGATAGTGGTAGAGAGCGAGACCTCGAGAGAGAAAAAAGGAAGAATTGTGTTTTTTTTAACCTTCGATTAAGATTATTTTTTTACCGGAATAAATTTGCAAACCTACATACGCAGAACTTAACTAATTAGTGCAGGTAGCACCACCATAAACACACCGAAAGGGAAAGATAGAGGTGGATCACTAGCTTTGTTCGGTTTCGTTGATATTTTCCCCTCATTGGTTATTTTTCGTTGGTGCGATTTGAACGGTGAATTGCGAAGCGAGTGGGTCGGGATTCGACTAATATACTAAGAAGACTCGCCTTGAGGAGTCTCGCCGGGAAGGAACTTGCTGGTCCACATGCAAGCAGATTAATTGGCTTGCTTGGCGCATAAGTGGACTGAGTTGTGTATAGTTCTGGCCTCGTAACTCTAGAACCGTTACATACTTAGTGACAAGGGACAGGGCAGCATGTAGCTGTTCAGATCGAGTCTTGCAGGTGCGCATGATGATAATTACTTCGGCCACGAGCGTCACAAGTTCCTCCGAGGTGAACGGAGAATCGTCGACAGGTTCACCTGAGACAGCACCAGCGTATGATAATAAACCAGGGGCGGTGGATGAACCTGGAATTGGCTGGGCCGCAGCAGCAGCGAGACGATGCTGAACTGTCCGACTGTTGGGAACCATTTGGATACTCGCAGGATTGGCTTGTTGGTTGTTGAGCGGAAGCGGGGCTAGGTTCGGAACATGTCGATGGGGCTGGAGAGCTGGGTACTGGACTTCCGTGAGTACAGGAGGCGAACGATGATTACGGAGGCGACCGAACTGGTTGTTAATTGTAGCCTTCCGACGGATTTTAATGAACTCCACTCGCTTGGGACATCCGCGATTGGAGGCTTGGTGGTTTCCACCGCAGTTGACACACGTTGGCTCTATGTCATCAACTTGCTCACAGGACGCAGTAGAGTGAGTTCCAGCACACTTGCCGCAGTTTGTCTTCATATGGCAGTTTTTGGTGCTATGGCCATAGGAGAGACAGTTGGGGTTTGTAATGCTCGATGTTGGGGTTTGTAATGCTCCCAACTGATGATGACCTGAAACAGGTCCCGGATTTTGGATCTCAGAGCCGCAAGACTGGTGGATCCCTTCGTGAAGTGCACCAGGAACAACTGGTCACGGAAGCTGGTATTGTTGTTGGAACGCCGGTTCATCTGGAACATGGCCTCAGGTTTGAGCCCAAGCCGCTCCAGCTCGGATTTCACCGCAGCCGCCTCGAACGACGGTAATCTACGCAAACCACCTTCAGTGGCGTGCTCGATGGCAGATCATGCGTGAAGAAGTCCACGTTGTTGTCCTTCAGGAAACACCCTATTTGTTTGTACTCCTCCAGGCTGGAGCACATGATTTTGGTACCGATTCTGCAAAGCTTGAAGCGAGGCAGCAGATTGTGTTTTGCCAGTTCGGCACCTAACTTGGCAACATCCTTCACGGGCGTGAAAAGCGCTCTTTTCTTGCAATGAGAACGGCGTCACCATCGCCATTTTCTTCCGGGAGTACTGCAGACTGGTTGGCTTGCAGTACCCGTTTTCCGGCGTCATCCTGTGACGCGTTGGGCTTGATTAGCACCTTCTTTGAAGGGCCCGCTGCTGTCTCATTGGCACGTTTACGCACCATTTGTTTCGAGTTTGCAAGTCCTAGTAAACTAGTAATCAGAACGCGAGAAGGCGGCGACAATTTCACGGCGCAACGCGACAGCACAAAACGGAACAAAATCGAAACGAGATCTCGAGCGAAAATACGAACTGAACAGCTCAACAGCCGAGCAAAGAATGATGAGCTGCAAGATGATCACATCCCAGTTTGTATGAATTTGATTTAAGTCCAGGATCTCGATAGTTTTTAAATTTTCTGAGAGAATCGAGGATACGACAATGGTGAATTTCGTTTAGCGCTATGGCACTAACATTTTGAGCTGGGAGGAGAAGCAGATAGCACACATGAAATTCATTTTATACTTTTTCCTCCTGTCATGAAAATGTGTGCCATTGAAATCAAATCAAAATAGGCGTAGTAAAATAGCCTGTTTTGCTTTGACCGTGTACTGAATGTTTGAGATTGTGCAAACTGAACTTTCTGTTTTTTAGTTTAATGTGCTTCTAAATATTTTGATAAAAAACCATGGTAAATGGTATTTTTCAATATTTGAGTATATTCAATGAATGAATTTTAAAAACGGAAGATTTCAATACCCCCTTGTGTATTTTTCATCAAACTGCTTGGCTCCCAATGACAGTTCATGACAGCTTGATTTTGGCTACTTTTGACGTTCAAATTTTTCGAGTCTGCTTATCCCTCCCTGATTTTAAGTAAACTGAAGCTTTGCACAAAAAAAATTAAATTAGAGCTTGGTATACACGTTCGGTAAGAAGGTTCGGTGATTTTTCACAAATTTTCTGTGATTTTTCACAGACATTCGTTGAAAAATTACAGGAAATCTGTGAAAAATCACCGAACTGTTTACCGAACGTTCAGCTGTTGAGATTTCGGTAAAATTTCACAAATTTCAGTAAAATAATCTAAGTATGTACACTAAGATTTTGGTTCCGTGTTCGGTAAATTTTACCGAAATCAGAACAGTTGAACGTTCAGTAAAACTTTGACTTTCATTTTGAAGGCTATTGAATTTGAAAATAATTTGAACATTTTCAACCTTGTTTAAATGATCAAATCTTGTCATTTTAGTGGAGATTTAGTTTCTAAGTAGCTGAAAAGCAATTGAATTGAATTACATAAATTTTACCACACAGTTCAGCTGTTCAGATTTCGGTAAAATAACCGAAGTCGGCGATAATTTCTAAGTGTGTAGGCCTTTTTAATGCACCACCAATGTGGAGAGCGCCAGGCGAGTTCGAGAGGAAACGTCAACCAAACCATTTGTTTACATCAGAATAAGGATTTTTCACAATGCAAATTAAGGCATTTTTCATATAACATCATGCCAATTTCCATCAGTAATTGTCCTATTTCACGATTTTCCATAGATCTGAACTGATTTGTATCTCAACTATTCATACACAAGAATTCCAGAAGGTCATAACCACCTAGGCATTATTCTAATTTTCCATTTTTTTCAACAAAAATATTCATGAACACCAGCAGCGCTCTTGCAAAAACGATACAGCTTGATTAATTGATCAGGAATAGTAAAAATGTGCTCCGCTTCCTTTGTCTCACAGCAGAAATTTCTGGAGATAATAGGAAAAATAGGAGAGCCCCCAAAACACAACAATCTTTTTGGTGTTCTCCTATTCACCACCAGAGACTGAATAGATCGCTTATTTTCTATTAAAAATAGTATTCAAAGCATGTTATTTTGTCCTTCCCATGACCAGGTGATGACCCGGGGTTCATCTACGTTTGGTGTCTAACGATTTGGACCTACGGCCTCTTCTGGACCATTGGTGGCATCTTCGTGTTCATGGACATCACCAACAAGCCGAAATTCATGCGCAAATACAAAAACCAACCCGGTACACATGAGCCACTGGAATGGAGTAAACTGAAGTCAGTGATAAAGACCGTTATCATCAACCAACTGGTGTTTGGACTCCCGACGTCCTACCTAACGTTCCATGGCCGGATGTGGCTTTCTATGGATGTACCAGAATTGCGACCCCTCCCGTCGCTTGAGCTCATCATTCGGGACATGCTGGTGTGCATCGTGGCCTGGGAAGCCACCTTCTACTACAGCCATCGACTGCTGCATCTCAACTTCTGGTACAAGCACATCCACAAGAAGCATCACGAGTGGTCAGCACCAATCGCCTGGGCCGCCATGTACGCTCATCCAATCGAGTTCATCATCAGTGATCTGCTGCCGGTGTACGTTGGACCCGCTATTTTGGTTCCCCATCCAGTGACGATCGCCATCTGGTTCGTGTTTGTCATGATGGACACCCTTGTTGATCATTCCGGTTATCACCTGCCGGTGCTTGCAAGCTCCGAACAGCACGATTATCATCATTCGAAGTAAGTATATCGCTACTTGGCACAACAACGTTACAACATTGCTTGACAACAGAATCTGCAGAGTAGCAGCACAGAGAACAGACGTCCAAGCTCGGTCAGAAACTTGTGTATAGTTAAGTGGAAACGTCGCCGTTACGTAGCGCTAGCATCTCCTGATTTCCGCTATAAATTTTGCACTTTCGGTCAATTTGGCGCTAGTATCGATAAATTATCTGTTTAAAATTGCCACTTGGCACTACCAACACTTAGTGTCTAGTGTAAGTTTTGCAACGCCAGTGCCATCATGTTGTCAAAGAGGTTTTTAAGTGGGGAAGTCGCCGTTAGTGGCGCTTAAGTCGAATAGGAATCTTTACACAAGTTTTTAGAGAAATTTTGTTCGAGCCTCAATGTCTGTTCTCTGTGGTAGCAGTAACACACCTTGGTGATTTATCACTATACTGCCACTCATCGCAAGTCGGTTTATCAAAACTGTTTATTTTATTTATTTATTTTTTCAATGGTAATGGTAACTAATCACCCATATTTACATAATACTGGATGAGCTCAATAACTTTGTTCTGGAAATGTTTGGAAAAACAGTAAAACGGGTTGTCCCATTACAAAAGACGCAATTGTGCGACGCAAATATAAAACGCGTTTTTTTCGACTAGCTATGGGACGGACTTGCCATGAGCTGCAGTATAGCGAAGACAACAAATCAAGAAGACTGGCAACTCTGCCTGAATCCAAGCGACAGATACAATAGCGCTGCGCTTGAGTGAGGGTGGAAGCAACGCATAGAAAAATTAGCAAATACACAAACCCTTCTTCTGAGGATGTAATCTTTGCTATCAAATTCGTTCGAAGCATTTACCTTTTAGCGGAAGATGACGCGATTGTACCTGTCTCATAGCGTTCATATGAGAAAATGGAAGAGTTGCCAGTCTTCTTGATTTGTTGTCTTCGAGTATAGTCAATATAGCAAACAATATTTTAAGAGCTCTTAAAAGAAAATCAGTGAGGGTGTTTTCAGAAGCTTTTTAGAATATGGGTACAATTTATTGCATTAGGCCGTTCGCAATGCTGTTGTATTTTATATGGACTGTTTTAATTTGAAGCTAGAACAGAAATGCACTCGTGTAGAATAGAAGAACTATGAAAGTGATGATGGCACAAACGAAGTAACAGGCGACTAACTGGTGAAGAAATCAATTAAAATAATGTGGTTCGCTGTAACAGAATTTTCTTAGAAGTTTGTGCCAGATGAGCTAGTATTTATGTTTTGATTTGAACAAAGTTGATTTTGCGTGCAGTGATCTTTGACAGTGTGCAAGTAGTGTATAATTTTGTAATTTTTTTATGCATTTCAGTTTTGAGTAGAGTGAAAAAGATAGATCCAAAACATTCTAGTACATTTGGTGAAAATGCTATATTGTCATGTGGTACAATCCAGTAGTAGTGGTGTTGCCGTGTGGTACACTGAAAAATTGCAATAGCAGGTTCGTCACCAAATTTTTCGAGTCTCTTCGTTTGTGATGATGGTTTCAAAATTTTCCACGGGAAGGTATACGAGTGCAATCTTAAAATGCTTTTATTTGCAAATGGAGCATTTTATTTAAATCTGGTTGCTGCTACAGTGGTAAAAAAGCTGAAATCTATGTATACACATACTATTTTTTCTATATAACATGTCTATTGAGTAGTCCTTAAGTTTTCTACTAACGTAGCATCAAATATATTATATTAACAATATGATCCACTCTTTCGCTTCGCTGGCGAACCATATTTTTAGCGATGAAAGCACCTCTGTGGCCAAAAAGGCTACCAATGTATTTGTTTATCGTCACGAGGGGTAAACCAAATGAAAATTTGTTTAGTATTTCAAATGAATGTATTTCAGCATATTATTTTATTTGATGACACAGTGACATGCCAGACAATTTTTAAAGTAATATACACAATGTAATTAATGAAAATAATGTGACTCTTACTTTTGTAATAAGTGCTATATTCGCACCCCTCAATTGTAATTGAATGATTGTTGCTGACCTTTTTCAACGCTAGATGATGCGTGCAGCAATATTTTGCGGGTCGCCATTGCAATATTTGGAAAAGGCATGAATGGATCATATTGTTAATATGATATATTTGGTAGCATTAACCATATTTACATAAAATGCTCCATTTTCAAAATAAAAGCATTTAAAGATTGCACTCGTATAACTCACCGTGTAAAATTTTGAAACCATTATCACTCTCATAGCTCTTAGTGCCAACTTTGATTTGCCAATAGGCACACTTTGCCGAGTGCCAACTTTGATTTGCCAATAGGCAAACTCGTTAGAAACTAAGCGATTGTTTCAGCCTCTGGTGATGAATAGGGGAACCATCAAAATAGTGATAAGGCTGATTTTTTCACCGTCAAGCATTAGGATGGGAAACTATTTTCACATTTCCTGATTAATTTATCCATTGCAGTTGGTAGAATTCATCATTATCATAATCTGTAGACAATCTTAAAATAAGAGCACTCCCGATGGATTCAATATGCATTCTTTGAGTTTAACCAATAGAAATTTTGATGTAAACGGCTTGGATAACATTTCCTCTCATAACTGCCTAGCGCACCCTACATTGATGGTGCATCAAAAGAGCCTATGCTGAGTTGCAGTTTCATTATTCGAGCACGAAACACGAATGCAACTCTGTTTCAAATTTCTTTGGATGTTGTAATGTTCAGTAATGAGCAAAAGGAGGACGCATATCTTTTGCCTGTAGACTTGAAGACATACTTCAATTCTCCGTGTACATCGTACGGGTTAGGCGAAAGATGTGCGTTTGTCTTTATACTGTCGCATTAATGGCCCTTCGCTCATTTTCAACATTTTCACATAGAATTCATGTTATCATATGCATATTATGTGAATTTCAGATTAAAATCATTCATTTTGATATTGGAAACCATATGAAAACTTTTTTCAGTGTACTCTAACGGAACTATCCACCTACCCTCTTCTAAAAATCATTCCCTAGCTAATAAATTATCACACTAAAGCTTCATGTTAGCATTTCCAACCAACTCTGTATTTAATGATGTTTCTTGCAAAGGTTCCGAGAACTTCATAGAAGTTGAGAAGATTCAATAGAAATTTGAGAATTTTCCAAAAAAATTGTGAAGATATTTTATAGAAATGTTTATAGAAAAAAATCTGATAACTTCATAGAGAAAAGTAAACTGTATAGAAATTGTATTTAAAAAAAAACTTTCAATGAGTATCATTGAAGTTTAGGTAATTTCAAAGAAATGAGAGGTATTTCATAAAAGATCGGGGAACATCATAGCAGTTCTAAAATTTTTATAGTATATTACACAAATCCATGGTTCTTCAAAGAATTTCATTAATACGCTTGAGTATATTACATCAAGAAGATATTCCATGATACCAACTGCTCAGAAATTATTCCAATGATCTGCAGGTGTTCTAAGATCTCTATGAAGTCCTTTAGATATGTTTTCAAGGCTTCGGGTTGATTTGGTATCATTTTGAAACTATGCAACTATCCAAAAATCTAAATCACTTCTCTCAGATATCCTCTCATATGATACCAACCGGGAAAAAATCCGGACCGTGAACTAAAAATCACGGCCAACTATCCAGAACAAAATTTTCTCAAATATATACCGTGAACTATGGTTCACGACTGTGGTGATAATGGAACTCTTTTTTTTTTCTCGTGCAAAAAAAACTATTCCATGTGTTTTAAGATGTCTATAAAGTCCTCTGGATACGTTTTCAAGACATCAGGTTGATCAGGTACAATTCTGACGAAGATCTCAAACTATCCAACAATTCAAATTACATCTCCCAGATATTCTGCCATGATACCAGCAGGTGAAATATCCCAAAGGCCTTCAGGAGATCAGAGATCTCCAAAAACTTCTCAGGATGTTCTCATGTCTTCAGGATGATTTAGTGTAATTCTGAAGAGCTTCAACTGCCCAACAATTTATTCACCCACGATACCAGGTTGCACAGAAATTGTTTCAAAGACCATCAGCGATCTCCATAAATAATCATACTTTCTTTACATGTTTCGACAGCTGAATCGTCCACAACCTCTTCTCGTGGTTCGAGGACTCGTTACCGGATACTGGAGTACGAATCACCGAAGCAATAAAAATTTGCACACGCACTGTTTCGGCCAGGATGATTCTTCTTCTTCTTTACTGTATTTAACGTCGGTCTCTGTTCCGCAATTTAGTGCCAATCACCGACGGACATAGATTGCCATCCTTTGACAGCAATCGAATGTGCAGGAAGGCAGCTTCCACACCTGCGTAGGATATCGCACCCATTCAACACACATGGGCCGGGAGATTTTTATGCCTCAGAAAAATCCCAGCGACCTCGGCTGGGATTAAACCCAGACCCATTGGGGTGAGAAATCAGTCACGCATACCACTATACCACCGGCGCCGGCTGGCCAGTGATTTGTTATGTTGACGAATAGTGGAACTCAGCGGTGCCGGTGGTGTAGTGGTAAGCGTAATTACCTCTAACCCCAACATGCCTGGGTTCAATCACAGTCGGCGCCGCCGGGATGTTCTGAGGCATTACATTACTGATTACGCCTCTGAGGGAAGTAAAGCCTTTGGTTCCCGGTTCATGAGTTGATGGGTCGACAGGTAGGGTCCAGATGTGGGAGCTGCCTCCCTGGCGTCGGTAGCATTGGTGCTCAGCATGGAAAACAAGATCGACGAAAAACTAATCAAGGAAAAAAAACTATAGGCGCGTTTACCCTACCGGTAATATTAAATTTTGAATTCATTTTGTTGTACCATGAAACGGGGTCACATAGTTTTTTAAAGTATGTTCTAAATAATCTTTACAGCAATGGATGTTTTTCAAATTTTATATTTTTAAAACAAGTACTGAGGATCCAAGAGTCAATTCGTTAGTAATATGTTTAACGAAAATTAAAGCATTTGCACTATTTTTATAGTTTTGTGACCGAACTTCAGTTTTTTGATTTGGGGTTACTTTGATAATGCTCGATGAATGTTGAAAAAAAATGGGTGAAACTCAAACAATTTAGTTCTTTAAATATGAAACTTTGAATGAGTATATTATCAGGAAAATTCATAAGCAATAAGAATACAATATTGAATTTGTGATGGCTATATCGGAAATACATTTCATAAGTGATAGTTTGAGTGCTTTTTCAAAAAGGCGAAAAACGACGAAAATGGTTAATTAAAATTTTTGAAAATAATGTAACACATACTTTATAAAAACTATACACCATATCAATGGAAATACCCTAAGCTACAATATGGAACCAAAGTTTCTAATTTGGAAAAAAGCGCAGCGAGTAAATTTAATCTTTACATTATACTATCAAAGCTACCCGCCGTTTTACTGTACTTTTGATCAATATCTTAACATTCTGTTGATTTTTAACAGTAGTGTTTACAGCAAATCAACAACTGAAAATATTGTTGCAATTCTGTTTTTATTGCCTTGGCAAATTTAATACTAGTTTTGTTATCAACAGGAAAGAGGTACATCAAATTGAATTTTCAGTTTTCTTTTACTGCTAGCAGAATTAGTTTTCAATTTGATGTAACAGGATGATTTTGTTGCTTTTAATATTGATATTTTAACCGTTAAATCGACCAAAACGATAGCAACCTTACGATGGCTAAAAGTATTTTTAATAAAGAAAGAAAAGGCTTTTAACATCGAATTTAGTTTTCAATTTGTTCTCCGACTTTGCTCGGGTTGTTTACCATTGCTAAACAATTCCAATTTCCAATCAATCCGTGCCTAATCTGCCAGTTGACTAATGAATGTTTCCTTTTTTATCTGCTTCACTTTCCCTTCTTTGATAGATTCAACCAGTGCTACGGACCCTTCGGTTGGTGGGACACCCTACATGGTACGAACGAAGAATTCCGCAAGAAGAAACAAAACCTACGAGACAAGAGAATATTCTCCCTGAAGTCAGCACGTGAGCTGATTCCAGACGAGTAGACTGGAGTATAATACTTAGGGTTGGAGGAATCATAATGAGTTGCCACTAAACAAATAAGAACAAAAACATAACTAGTTTATCTAAACACGAATGGTGGTCACGTTATGGTGAAGTTGTTACTCAAATAGATATTACTATAACTACATTTCATTAAACTAGATAAGTCAGAGTAACCAATATGCTGAGAAGACAACAAAAGCATCTATACCCAAGCGATATGGAATGTTACTTGGGGCCCATGCATTAATTATGTCATGCTAAATCGAGCAAAAAATTACCCCCTCCCCCCCTATCGTGACGTTTTTCCTATACCTAATGCATTGCTTGTCACAAAATCTTAGACCTCCCCTCCCCCCTTAGAGCGTGACACAATATATGCATCAACCCTTGTGAAAAAAATCATAATGTATAGAAAGAAAAACTAGTCTTGTAAACTTGTTGGGTAAGATTTACTGATGGTCTGATGGTAACACATTTCCTGTTATAAGTAGATGAATGTTGTGGAAATAAAGACTCAGTCAGATTCAATCGTGGTATGCTTTTATGAGAAAATCCTCCTCTCAGTTTAGACGCCCGGAATTCTAACAAGCTAATGTAGACGAAAATTTAAGAAACCACTCTCCAATGCTAAGATTTTTCAACGGAAAACTTCTTTGAAAAACAATAACACGATAAAGTAAATAATATTGTAGTTTTCAAACTTCGAAATCTGAGTTAATCATTGAAAACGGACAACATTATGAGCATTATTTTCTTTGGGAAATAAAAGACAAAACTTACCAACGTGAAGCGAATTGCCGAGAAAGTGGTGCTGGAATAGCTACCCAAGAAACCACGAAGCCTGCTAATAGCCCTAAAAGAGCCCTTTCTGCAATATAAGTTGAATATAACGCTCCCATGTTTTGTATCTGCCGTATATCACTTTTATATTGCAAAAAGGACCGTTATCGGGCTTGTTGGTTACTTGGGTAATCCACAGTTTTGTTCACGATGCTTTCAAGCAGCATTAAGAATTTACTGATCTACTTCCAAAACTGTTGAACATAAGGTGTGGCCCACTTAGAATTGACAAATCCTAGTTTATGCCGGCCACCGCGGCGCTGTAATCGTAGCGGTGATGAACTTGAGATCATCTGTCAAACTGCATATATTTTCAAGTTTGTGATAAGAAAACTATGTTTTACGTGTTATTGTAATCGCTTTATTCAATAACAGAAAGCAAATATGAACAGAAAAGTAGCGCCGGTAAGAACGGTAAGTAAATCCTAATTTTTAAATGCAAACTTATTGAGATTTCTTCAAAATGAAAAATATGTTGCTCTCAGCAAAACATCAACAAATAATGTTAACAATATTTTTACAGTATTCAAACTGAGAATGCAATCCTGCAGGATCATCCCATCGGAGATTGAATTAAATCAATTAGTTTTGCTGTTTGAGGTGAGTTGTTAGAACAATTTTACATATTGAAGCAATCAAAACAATATATTGTTCCATCCGCAGGAACATCATCTTTCCTATAGCTGAAGGAATATAGCCGAACGGAAACCCTTTCTTCTCTGGCATAAATAGAATCTCTCTGGTAAGTAGAATTAGATATTAAAGTGCTAAATTATTGAAATAGCATTGAAATCAATAAAAAATCGTAGAACAAACATGATAAAACCAACTAAATCCCTGCATGCTTCGATCGATGGCTGCAAATCGTATCCGAATACAATCCTACTGTATTAAACCAACAACCAGCATCGGGTGTCTGCATTGGAATACATTTTGCAAAGGGGCTTTTCTATTTTTTCACGCCCTAATTAAAAATTACCATAAACGAACGATAACCCAAATCATTGAACTATTCAACAAATGGTTTGGATGATACCTTGAACACGTCGTTAAACAAATTAATCATAAAATTTTATTTATTGTGTCTCCATATCAACATTAATCGATGTGGTATGGCTGTTAACATTACATAGAATAGACACATATCACAATAGTTTTTTTAGGTTTTGTACAAGATTCATTCATTTTAATAGCATATTTACACGAACTAGCACTTTTTTTTTTCCTTTGTTTTGTTTTTTCCGTTGATCTTGTTTTCCATGCTGAGCACCAATGCTACCGACGTGCCAGGAAGGCAGCTCCCACACCTGGACCCTACCTATCGACCCATCAACTCATGAACCGGGGACCAACGGCTTTACTTCCCATCCGAAGGAAGGCGTGATCAGAGATGTTATGCCTCAGAACATCCCGGCGGCGCCGACTGGTATTGAACCCAGGCCTGTTGGGGTGAGAGGTAATCACGCTTACCACTACACCACGAACTAGCACGGTAATTTAATAAATTTCCATAAAAATAATGAAATTTCCAAGGGCTGTCACTATCTGATCACCTTCGGATAGTGCTTATTCCTGTCACCAGGCGTGCATTAGTTTAAGTTAGATTGGTCAATTGACCACTTTGTCAAGCAGTTTTGGCGTGACTTTCTACCAGCGGTTTCACAAAACTGGACCAAATAATTTATATATTTTTATGAAACATTTGTGCGTTGGCAAGTTTTCTCGAGGTTATAGAAGAAAAAATATCAAAATGATGTTTTATTTCAATGTTCGAGTGGTAGTAAACGTCATTTTAAGTGCTCGAATAAAGTGGTTAATTGGAACAAACATTTTTTAATCTGACATCGACCCTAGTGGTCGGATTTGGAAACTTTTGACGAATATGTGTTTCCTATAACCGAAGACACCAACTTTGCCAGAATGCAAACGACAGATACAATAGCGCTGCGCTTGAGTGAAGGTGGAAGCAACGCATAGAAAAATTAGCAAATACACAAACCTTTCTTCTGAGGATGTAATCTTTGCTATCAAATTCGTTCGAAGCATTTACCTTTATGCGGCAGATGACGCGATTGTACCTGGCTCATAGCGTTCGTATACTCAAAAAATTCCACACGTTTGATCGAAGTGTTTAAACACTTGATTTTTTAAATGCACAATCAGATTTACTTAAAGTGTATTTCACCTTGGCTCAATGTGTTATACACGTTATTTTCTAGTGTTTCAAGCTTTGAAATGTTGAAACTATTTCACTATCTATTCAAGTGTATTGCACATTGGATTACTGTTCAAAACAGATGGATTTAAAGTGTTGTGCATTTCAATGCGATGTGAATTGCTTGCTCAGAAAGGTAAACATCGAAAACAAGAGTTGTGACTTTATCCTATCAACCCGCCTCATATATGAGAACAATCGTGGCACAAAGGGATCGAACGAAGACTCCGGCAGCAGCTCACCTCAACAGTCCATGATCGAATCCCAAATCAGACCCATTAAAAAGATATGTGAAAGCTCTGGCCTCTGGCAGTTTTGTTTATATATATTTGTCGATTCGTTTTTAGAGTCGGCAAAGTAGTAGTCGATAATGTAGAATATTGTAGAATATTGAACTATGATGTGCAAAGCTATTGATATCACCATATGAGGTACATAGAATCCAAACGTGTAACAATTCAAATCCATAGTGTTCAGGCATGATTCATAGCATAAGATTCACACATGAAATGGATGTGTTTCACAATAAGCGCAAAATTAAGTGTGAGACACATGATGATGACGTGTAGAATTTTTTGAGTGTATGAGAAAATGGAAGAGTTGCCAGTCTTCTTGGTTTGTTGTCTTCGCTATAACAATAACCACATCAGAAGATTTTTTTCACAGCGCAGTTCGAACGTGCTCCAGAGAAATTCAACATGGAAGAAGAAATAATGAAAATAATTGTGCGCTGTCATTTGGAAAACCCTTCGTGGGCTGAACCTGCGCTTGCAAAAGTGTTAGCACAAACGAAGTGACAGACGACTAACTGGCGAAGAAATCAATTAAAATAATGTGGTTCGCTGTAATAGAATTTTCTAAGAAGCTTTTGCCATCCGCCACCAGATGGGCTAGTATTTTTGTTTTGATTTGAACATAGTTGATTTTGTGTGCAATATGATCTTTGACAGTGTGCAAAGAGTGTATCATTTTGTCATTTTTTTTATGCATTTCAGTTTAGAGTAGAGTGAAAGAGATAGAACATTTAGTGTTGCCATGTGGTACAATCCAGTAGTAGTGGTGCTGAAATGTGGTACACTGAAAAATTGCAATAGCAGGTGCGTCACCAAAGTTTTCGAGCCACTCCGTCTGTCACTTCGTTTGTGGTGTTAGGTTTTCCCAGAAATACCGAATGGCGTGTTCTGAAAAAGTACATAGAAACCATTTCGATGGATCGCAAGCCACAAAGAAAGCGTTGGATGGAGAATAGCAATGGGCGATCTTGGATCGTAGCTCAAAAGATCGATTTTTTTGGTTCGATTAATCGATTTTTTTAATCGATCCTAAACACGACAAAAATCGACTGGATCGATCATTTTCATTCGATTTTTGTTTCGATTCAAAAAGAAAATTTCAGTGCATTTGCATTTGCAATTTAATATTGATTTTTTTTTTGGCTTCACCTTTGCACATCACTTGCCTTGAACATGGATTCTACCAAACAACCAGTAACAAACAACAGTTCAGTAGGCAAGAACGAGAAAAAGAAAGTTTTGCTTGAATTCAAATTTAGTGACGGTGTTTTTAGTCTTAAATATAATTCATCAACATTGCTTAACAGAGATCAACGAAACGGATACTCGAGACTCTTTAGCATGCTATCTAAAACCACACATTGACATGCCTCTTCCTGTTGGAGGCTAAATTTATGTACAAACCAAACTGGTTAGGTACATGCAACATAGCAGTTGGATTTATAGTACTTATACTTATAAGTCTTGGATAAAATTTGGATTCTTCAGTGGTGTTGAGTACTTGACACTAATGAAGTCTGCAAGTAGACAAAATACGACGCCTACCTGTCAAAAAATTAGCAATTATAATGAAATTCAAAGGAAATAAATCAACACACTAAACAAGCTCTTCATTATTTTTAAGTGTTGAAGGATTAAAATAATCCAAAACTTGGACTGTTTTCACAGACTTATGAAAAAAAAACCTCTTCTTCTTCTTCTTTCC